ACCGGAGCCGCATAGTTTACCACAGACCGGCCTATCGCGTTGTAAGAGGTCAACAAGGTTTCCTTATCAGCTCCCCAAGTACTGCCGGCCAGAGACTTGAGGACCTTGTTCCTACTTCTAATCTTGTCGCAGGTAGCTGTGATATGCGCGGACGACTTAAAGAGGCTATCGAATGTGACCCCTAATACCTTGGGGTAGTTGGTGGTCGGAATAATAGCACCATCGACCTGCACATTCAAGGATAGCCCAATCTCCGCAGTCCATGTGGTGAAAAGTGTGGCCGTCGACTTAGTAGCGGATATCTTCATATTCCTCGCAGTGAAAAAGGCGGTAAGATCAACAAGGTAAGCGTTTAACCGATCGCAAATGTCATCACGCCACGAGCGTACAATCATCTGCGTACGTTATAATTTCTATGCCGTCTGGAGGGCGTGGAATGTCAGAAAGGTAGAGGTTAAACAGTTCCGGAGATATCACCCCACCTTGGGGAACTCCCTGTTTAACTCTACGGATGCTCGACTTCTTGTTTCTGAATTCCACGTACGACTGGCGTCCACACATGTAGTTTACTTTACAACGTTTCAAACTTGGCCGGAGGGTGGTGCGCTCAATGTCCTCGAACAGTGTGGCATGATTGACTTTATCAAAGGCTTTTGATAAATCAAGTGCCACCATAACTGTTCTATCGCACGGCCTGTTCTGGTTGAGACCTCTACTGACATGTGTGGAAATCGCGTGTAAAGCTGTTGTTGTGCTATGCAATTTTCAGAATCCGTGTTGATGATCGGCTACTGGGAAACACTCTCTTATGCTGAGGAGGAGTAAAGCCTCAAGCGTCTTTGCTACTGGTGACAAAAGTGATATCGGCCTGTATGAATCACTTTTGCTGGCATCCTTGCTTGGCTTCAGTAGCGGGACCACCCTGCCCATTTTCCAGGCATCGGGAACTACTAGGGTGGCTAACGACAGATTGAGAAGCTTTGTGAGATACTCAACTCCTGGTTCATCCTGTTGCTTCAACATCACCATTGAGATTCCGTCAGGACCAAGCGATTTGGATGACTTTGCTCTTTTTGATGACCTGTGCAACATCTGCCAACGTAAATTGTGGTGGTACCTCCTCGGCTGGAAGGGATCGTACACGGCGTAGGATCCTTCTCTTCGCCCTGTCACTCTCGGGGTTCTCTTCGCCCTGTCACTCTCGGTTAAAATAACACTCGCACCTCTTCGGATCTGTCACTTCTACGCCGTCGAATGAGACAGATGTCCTAACGTCCTTTTTCCCAGGGTTCGAGAGCGACTTAAATGTTGCCCACAATTTACTCGTTCCGGTACCGATGTTGCAATGCTTCAGATGTTTTAACCACTTTTTCCGCTTATGCTCACCTACTAACCTGTTTACCTCCAGAGTAAGTTCCCTGACTGTGGGGTTATTAGGGTTAGTACGGCGAAGCTCATCTCGCTCGTTTGCTAATCCCGCTGCCTCTGCTGGGAAATTTGGTCTTATTTCAGGTATTCGACCAGCTGCAGCTTTGATGATGTCCCGGAAACACCTATCTGCTACCTGAACATCAGATGGGTTGAGCAGTTCTCTGAAGCGGCGATTGGTATACTCTCTGGATTCTTTCCAATTAGCTTTCCCGTGGTTAAGGAAAGTGCGGCGTTCAGTGTCAATGAAGTCGGGTGGTCTGAGCCTAGAGAAATAACTGATTGCCAAGTTACGTCATTCATCAGACCTGGGGACACGATGGATATGTCCGGAGAACTGTGGCAGTCTCCCCTTATTCTGGTGGGCGCGTCCTCATTCACTGTGCAAAACGTGGAGCTATCAATTTGCTTAACCAGCGCCATGCCTCTCTGGTCATTACCAAGGACGGAATGCCATAATTCATGATGGGCATTGAAATCCCCTAACAACAGACGGTTATTGCCTACCAGTAGTGAACTGATATTAGGCATATAACGTGGGGCACAGCTATTTAACGGCGGAATATACACGTTGAGCACCTCTACCACGGCGGTTCCACACTTGACCGCTACCCCCATACATTCCATGTACGGGTCACTAGAGTCAAGCTCAGGCGAGATAGGTCTGTACTGGACAGAGTGGTGCAATAGGAACGCTAATCCTCCACCTCCACCTCTGGAGCGATCCTTCCTCAGTACGTTGTATCCATCACAACTTCAGCTTCGTTTCCTGGATTGCTGCGACCTTGATGTTCTTCCGACTCATAAAGCTTACAATTTCGTTGATCTTACCTCTGAGACCATCACAAGCAATGTAGTCCCTATCTCTATACTCCTGTATCCGGTTCAGGCCGATTACGACAAACGGAGCAGAACCATGGTTCGGGGTTGCTCTCGATCCCGGCTCGGACCAAGAGAATACGGAGCAAACATTCCGGGTAATGTTGCTCCCACATCAGAAAAATGGACGAACACGAACATGGGTTGGCGGCCCCTGGTCGGACAAATGTGCCTCCGAGTCAATCCGGTACATAGAACCGGCCGCCGTGGGATTGATGGTGCTTGGTAGTTGTAGTTATTGGAATTTATCTTAGGATGTGGAATGTGGACTAATTGAGGGTAAAATTGTTGCGGATTTTGGTTGAATTGAACCTAGGTTTTGTCCTTTATTTTGATGTTCAAGGATTCCGTTACAAATATTTTTGCTTCTATTAGCATAATCAGATCGCAAATTTTGATTTTCTAACTTGAGGCATAGATGCAAGCCTGTGACAAATCGGCTGGTTCCTTCATACCTAGTAGACGCGACAAGTCGCCATTAAGACCTCGTACAAACGTATAGAGTGCCTTGTCTCGGTATGATTGTGTGAAAAGCTTCAATGACTCATCCGGTAAGTCCATGCAACCAATTTTTTTAAGGATGAGAGATAATTGATTATATACCTGTCCATACAATTCTTGTACAGTTAGGTTGCCTTGCACTAAGGATATTATTTGATATTCCAGGGTGCGAATATCCCTCTTGTCGGCGTAGTGCAACGTCAGACATTTCGATATGGCTTTCCAATTCAATTGAGTATTATATGATTCGAGAGCAATATCTGAATTGCCAACGATTTTGTTTCTTTTAATATTTTAAATTCCATAATATTTGGGAGAACCTCAATTCAATGGAGTATTATATGATTCGATGGCAATATCTGCATTGCCAATGTTTGATCCGAAAAATTTGCAAAGTGCGAATTTTGTTGACAATTTGCCTGTAGTAGGCCCTGAAATTATGTTTCTATTATGCTTTGCACCATGCGAGCAAATAAGTCAAGTGTAATATTCTGTACGGTTTGAAAGGATTGTGCTGGTGCAGCGCTATTTGGAGTTGCATTGGAATTTGGGGGATTAAGGATAGGAGGGTGCATTAAGTTATTAGGTTTTGACATTTTTACTCTTTTTTAAATTGTATGTATTATATTAGATTTTTTAACACGAATATGATTTAGTAGAAATTATAGATTTTACATGTACTAATTCGGTCGTTAAACGTTTAAAATAATAGAAATACGATAAATAAAAATATATTATTCTTCCAATACAATAATTTTCTGGAACATTATTATCAGCTCCTTGCAGCTCTGTTGATTGTGGACTGCTGTTTTTCACGATGCATCGTTATTGTTTTTTTTATCTTAATATGAATTATTTTCTCCTTTTAATTATTCTTGTTGTAGTGTCTTTTTTTGACTCTAGTTTTTGTTATTACGTTCACTTAATAATTTTTTTTTGTCCAGTGAATCGGCTGATTTGTAACACCGTCCTTTTCCTATTCTCGATAGGTACTTGCGAGCCTCGTTCTTCACTACTTTTTTCGCGGAAGTTCCAACCGCGCGGTCGATTGGGACACTGATTTAACACCATGAATTCTTTTAATTCTTTTTTCGCGTTTAATCTAAACGGGCCCCGGCTCGGGTGCCACTTAACTTTTCATGAATTGATAATTAAAAAAAGAATATAATTCTTTTTTAATTGGGGCGAATTCCGGCTTTATTTATCACACCCAAAAGTAGAACTAAAAATTAAAATTATTATAATTTTATAAATGCTTTTAACTATGCACTTGCCAACGATCACCTCATCTAATTCCAGAAATCAGTTGTTAACTTTCGCAGTTTTATGGGAACGGAAGTTGTTTTGCAACACCTTTAACACCTAAAAAGTGTCTGGCGTTAACTTGCACATTCGTTTGCTGTGTGTTTAGATTTTTTGAACAGGTAGAACGTTTTATGATCCTGTTTACAAAATTAATTTTTTTTATTGCTTGTTCGTAGGGACATAATGATAACCCTTTCTTTCCATCACTTAAGTCCTATAAAATGCACCAGGTAATAAAAAATGTGTTAGAACCTGTGTAGATACATCACATGTCTATGGACAATTTATTAATAAATATATTTTCACTTCAAGTAGAAAATAAATTAAATAATATAAAAGTAAATGAAAAACATGTAGAATAGACATTACATTTATGGTTTCTTACTTTCCTATGGGATATTTCCATTATATTGTTATTCAACTTAACAATTAATAAATTATTAATTGTGGCACTGTTTAATCTTGTGCTTTGTATTGTCGTTCAATTCATTTTTGGTATGTTTAGTTCTAGAAACTGTAAGTATCTACTAGTTTTGCAATTTTTTTTCGATATCATATGGAAGAAAATCGGACCAGAGCAGTGAAAAGTGTCTTCACCAATTTTTACATCAAAAACTAAATATAAAACAATAAATGTCAGAAAGATTTTAATTTTTGTTTTAATTTTGAAATAATAATTTTGAAATAATTGCCGTAATTTTATTATATTCAGCTAACAGATCAACACTTGCTCTGTTCCAGAACTACAACAATGTAGGAGGTGTCACGGCGACCAGCAATTTTTCCTTTAGGGATATCGAAAAAACTGCAAAACTAGTTGGTTCTTGCCTTGATCTTTACAGTTAAATAGCCATTTTTACTTTTTTTTTATTTTATTTTATTTTTAGATCATGTGAAATCTATCAAATGTTTTAAATGTGCTGTCACTGTGGAGAAGACATATTCTTATACGAAAAATATAACTGTAATTACCCCTATGTGTTCAAAGTTTGATAAGTCTGAGGAATATAAAGTTGACTGTAAATACTCAACAATGTGCCTAAAAACTATTTCAACACTACGTTTACAAAACGGACAAAATTTGGAGACTGTGACACGCGGCTGTGCTCCTCAAAAAGATACAAAACAGGTATAGATAAATTCCTATTTTACAATGTATTAAAAAATGTAAATTATATAATTAATTCAATCAAAAAATCTTCAGCATCACAATAGATTTTGTTGTTGTTACAGCAACAAAAACACGGTTCGATTTATATTTATTTATCTTGTTCTAGATCCAAGTTAAAAAAATTCGGCCGTAGCGAAAAATGTCCAAGGTAGGGTTGGCAGGGTAATTAAAGAGATACAAGTCAGACAGACTTTCGTACATTTTCATCAATTGGCATCTAACACGATTGAGACGACTGCGCCATCCTGAATGACATTGCGCCAAAGGCAGCCAACGTTCTTCATGTGCAATGGATGAGGGAGGATTCCAAGGAAGACATTTATACTGTAGTTGTTGATAACAACAACAATAACTCAATAACAGTCTCATCATCGATTATGTTGCTATGTCCTAGAAAACAACAAAGCTTAACGAATTCACGTATGCTAGGAGGTCAAGGGGCACGTGACCAGAGTTGGTTCATCTTGTTTTATACTGTCTATGGACTTGGAGTTCTTAGACAGTATTTAACGAAAGCATTAAGCACTCCCTCTATAGACTCACAAAAGCTTATGCAAAATCTACGTTCAGCTTTCTTTTAGTCACTTTTGTATATATTGAAATTTAGTTTTGCTGGCCCTGTAGTATGACCTTTTTGATGTTTTTTGAAGAATAGCATGGTCTATTTAATCGGGTAGGTGATTGGACAGGATTTCTCATAGCTTGAACGAAGAATATTTGTTATAACATGGTTGATTGCAGACATCGATGATAATGATTCTACTCTGACGTAAAATATTTTAAATTTCCCCAGTAGTTTTTTCTTTGATTACAATAACATTAGATGTTTGACGCCGCATGGAAGAATATCATCTTGTGCTCTGAGAAAAATTACTTTTCAGATACCTTCTAACTGCTAATAACAGAGTTGTCCATATTGGAGAGAGTGATGTCAATGACTTCCCCGCATACACTATTCTGAAATGTCGGAGTGTTACCAATTTTACATACCCTGTCGACAAAATTCAATTTTTTCAATAAAAGCAAGGGAAATCTATCAGATTATGAAATTAGTGATAAAGAAGAAAACACGTGTATCGGTGTTCTGAAAGTGTACATCGCAAAATAACCTAAATACAGGGTGAGATAAAAAACTGCATCAAGTAAATATAGTTTTTACGTTTTTTTTTTTTTAATTTTATTGAATGAAAGCAACAAAATAGCATCAAATTTTAGAATAAGTTTAGATTTGTTCGAATTGGTTACCATTGGCACGAATTATGGCCTTCAAACGGAAAATGAAACTGTCACACGATGTCCGAATGTTGCTCTGCGGTATTTAGGCCCTTTCCCGATGAAACGCTTGCTTGAGATGATCGACACTTTGGTATTTTTTAGTGCCAACCTTGCTTTCCAAAATAATCCAGACACAATAGCCCAACAGATTGGTATCCGGAGATTTTGGTGGCCATTGTGCGCTGGAAATGAAACGAGGAACCTCATTTTGTAACAATTCTTGGGTGGCGCGTGTTGAGTGCGATGGTGTTAAGTCCTGTTGGAATATCCAAGATCTGCGGCCAAAATTTTTGCATTACCAAGGCTTTAATACACCCTCCAGAATATTTCCAGAATAATATTCGGCATTTATTCTAATTAATACGAGCAGAGAGCGAATATCGGCTGTTATGGCGGGCTAAACCATAACCATGGCCGGCGCTTCAGTTCTGGTGGCCGATCGAAGGTGCACATTTTAGCTGACCTCTTTGCAAGTAAACACGATCATTTTGTTTGTTTACAAACTGCTGAACAACGAATGTTTTCTCATCGGAGAAAATCAAATTCGGCAGTTCACCACTTCGGCCAAGGGAAGCAACTCTTTAGCTCTTTTGAGTCTATTTTCTTTCTGTTGCCGTGTAAGTTTTTGCACTTTTTGGAGTTTCAATGGCTTTACCCCGAGCTAATGTTTTAATATTTGCCGAATGGAATATTGCGATATGTTAAGCTCACGAGCCATTTTTTCAGCCAAGTCGCTTCTTTACTTTTGAATTGAATTTCATCTGAAAAATTCTCACCAAAATGCTTTTGTACGCTTGAAAACAATATAATGAGCAGTCACTGGAATAATTTTAACTGCTGTCGGACGAGTGGCTTAGAAATGACAACAGTCTGAAGTTGGTTACAGTGTTTTCATCTCACCACATTGTTGGAAATTTTCGCCACTCTTGGTGTCTGTGGTTAAGATATGGAGATGGTTTTAGAAATGTGTGCCATATATGTTCGAAAAGGGGACGTTGAAATAGATTTAAACAAAAAAATTAGATGTGGATCACGAACTGTTGAAATGAATCTAATTTTCAGGTGGACTTTTCGCTGATGAAGTAGCGGGCACTTACTAGTTTTTATACCTTCATCCATACATAGTATGGAGGGTATAATAAGTTCGTCAGTCCGTTTGTAATTCATCGAAATCTTAATTTTAGACCCAACAACGTATATTCCTGATCGGCGTAAAATTAAGTCCTGTCCTTCCGACCGTCTCTTCGTCTGCTGTAATCACGCTAGAGTCAAAAGCAATTAGGTCAAGTTCGAAGACGGGCTATATCGTTCGAAGACGGCTATATATATATGATATCGTATAGCCCCCATATAACGGTACCCGTGATATTCGGTATTTTAATCAATTTAACCACATTTTTTAATGGAATTCTCTAAAATTCTACACTAAGAGTTCTTCGTGACTACTTTAACCCCTGAACGAATTGTCTATATGTGTCCACGATATTGTGTATCCCCCATATAATGGTTCTTTCCGATATTCGGCATTTTGATGATTTTAGCCACATTTTTCTATGGAATTGTCTGAAATTCTACATAAGGAGTTCTCTGTGAGTACTTTACCCCCTGGAGGAGAATTGTCTATATATGTTCACGATATCGTATAGAGACCATATAATGGTACCCCCGATATTCGGTATTTTTATTATTTTAGCCACATTAAAAATATTAAATAAACGAAAACAGCTTGTTACATATAATTTTGAATAATTCTGACAGAAACCGGACATGGTCTCAGGGGTGTATTTCAGTAGTTTTACGATGTTGTTCTACCTCCTGATTGTACCATGAATACAACTTTATAATTCCATTTTTATCTCCTCTAAATATTCATATTAGAGTCTAAAAAGCATGTATGTTGTTGATAAGCGTAAAATTCAAAGTTGATTTAGCAATGCACTGGGTCGCAAGTTCATACTAGCGGTGGCCAAAAATAGAAGGAGTTGGAACAAGTTAACAAGTACTTACTGTTCACTAACAATGTCGAGGACCAAATACGGCAAAGGTATGTCCACGTTTTCGTATAGTCTTCATATGACGGTTCCTCTCGATATTAAAACAATATTTTCTAATAGAATTGTATAATATTCGATATTAAGAGTATATAATAGATTCACCACATTTGGTACCTCAAGTTATTCAGTATTTTGATGATTTATGTCACATTTTTCAACGGAAGTTTCAAATTTGTTGATGTTTGCAATATATATTAGTCACTGTAGCAAACAGTTGTCTACATAGGCCCACGTTTTCTTACGTAAATTATTATAGATGTTATGTATTTATTGAGTAAGTGGAATTATACGAATAATATAATTTCAGAAGATTATAAGCTATGAAAAAAAAATTTTGTAACTTGATTTCGCTTTTCATTTACACATAAAAATTCTTGCGTGATTTCAAACTTTAACAATGCAATTGTTTTTATAGAGCATGAGGGAAAAAGTGTATATAAAAAGTGTACATAAAATTCGTGGATATTTGAAATAAGTGAAACCGGGAAGCAATTTCATATAGAAGATAAGCCGATACATGGAATTTCATCATCTTATTACAGGACTTTGTTGTACTCTTACGTTTGTGTAAAAGATTTAGTTGTGCTTTTACGTTTTTAATAAAAGACTTGTTGATAAATTAACAAACTTGAGCAAGATTTATTCTGGTTATTTCTGCAACTAAAATACGTTACAAATATGATGTAGCGCGTTACTACTTGGAGTGTAAGACAATTGTGTAGTGTAGTGACTGAGTTGTCTGAATGACTGAAATAGTCTGAGTGAGTGAGAAAGAGTGTAGCTGAGGGTAGTGTGTGTGTATGTGTGCCTTCATAATAACAATGATGCCTAGTTTTTGAAGGTTTACAGTAGAACCCTAACATATCCCTTTTTGAGACTTCTCGGGGGTCCTGGATATTGGCTGTACTGGATGTCTTCGAGAAGTGATGCGTTGTGGAAGCATAACCGGTGATGATGGTGGAGTTGTGAAATCTTCTTCCGTCTGTGGACTAATGTTGAAGTTTTCTAGTAGTATTTGAAGAGGAAGATTATCATTTTGCTTTGTAGGTACAACACCGTGATCGGCTGCTCTTAGTCTGAGTTTATCTGCGTGAGATCTCACGAGAATATGTCGATTATTACCTTAACATTTCCCACTTTGTTGATAATTTCACCTGGAACCCAGTAGCTTTTATTACCTTTGAGGTGTTTAGCGTAGACAAGATCTCCAGTAGTGAAATTTCGTTGTTTGGTGCCGTGTTTACGGTTGTACTGTTCCTCCATTTGTTATTGTTATTAAGTCGAATACTGTTCTCATTTTTCGGCCTAGGAATGATTCCGCTAGAGAAAATTCATTAGGCGAATTTTTGTTCGGTGTTGAACGATACACTTCTAGAAATGTTTGTAGTGCATTTGATGTCGTCTCCTTTACCTCTGATTTTTTTTAAAGATTGTTTGCGAGTATAGACGAATCTTTCTACTTGACCATTGTAACTTGGGTGATATCGAACTGTTCGTGTGTGTTTTATTTCTCGTTGCGAACACCAATTTTCGAAATCTGTTGAAGAAAATTGTGTTCCATTGTCGGATACGATTTGTTCTGGATTTTCGAATTGTGAACAATCGGCCTTATTATGGTTGTCGTCGGCG